ATGAGGTCTCGCTGCCCAGGCGGGTCTCGATCCCGTGGGCTCAGGCAATCCACTCACCTCAGCCTCCCAAAGGCGCGGGATTACAGGCTAAGGCACTGAGCCTGGCTTGGGGTTTTTTTTGAGTCAGGGTCTCTTGTCACCGAGGCTGGAGTGCAATGGCATATTAACAGCTAATGGCAGCCTCGACCTTCTGGGCTCAGGCTATCCTTCTGCCTCAGTTTCCTGAATAGCTGGGACTATAGGCTTGTGCCATTACGAATACCTGGCTTATTTTTTTTATTATTATAAAGATGTGGGGTACAATTCAGGGCTTTTTTTTTGGTAGCGACAATAGTGCACTATGTTGCCCGGGCTGGTCTCGAACTCCTGGGCTCAAGCAATTCTCCTACCTCAGCCTCCCAAAGTGCTGAGATTATAGGTGTGAGCCACTGCGCCTGGCCCAGAACACTTCTATGCACACTAGTCATCACTAAAACTCTTCCTGGGATCCCCTGTCCATTTGAGTTCCCCCTCTTTTTTCCTATGTCTACATTCCAGTTTCCCAGGCCTTGTTCTCCTGAGCCCCCACCTGTTCCTAGTGGCTGAATCCCTCGGCAACTTGTTCCTTATTCTGAAATCTCACAGTCCTCAGTGCCAGTATTTGTCCCTGAAGTCCTTCCTTCTGTCTCAACCCTCCCCCTCCTTCCAGTCCTGCACTTCTTCCTCGATGGCCGCTGGGGCGCAAGCCGAGAGCGGCTGGCCATCAGCAAGGACCAGCGAGCAGTGCGGAGTGTTCCAGGGCTGCCTCTGCTGCTAGCTGCTGACCGGCTGCTGACCGGCTGCCACCTGAGCGTGGATGTGGTCCTGGGCGATGTGGCTGTGACCCAGGGCCGCAGCTACTGGGCCTGTGCCGTAGACCCAGCCTCCTATTTGGTCAAGGTGGGCGTCGGGTTGGAGAGCAAGCTTCAGGAAAGCTTCCAGGGTGCCCCTGATGTGATCAGCCCCAGGTCAGGCTCCTCTGGAAGGGCTGGGGTGTGGGGGCTCTGGGTGGGAGTGAGGGGCAGGGCTAGGGGATTACAGCCTTGCAGGGTGGAGTTGGGGAGGGGGTTGGGAGGATGCCATAGGAACATGGAAGCCAGGCCAGGAGGCCTATGGCCAGGAGGGGCATGGGCTCTGCAAAAGAGTTTTTTCCTTTTTTTTCTTTTCTTTTTTTGAGTCAGGGTCTCACTCTGTTGCCCAGACTGGAATGCAGTGGCATGATCATGATGATCACAGCTTATGGCAGGTTCAACCTCCTGGGCTCAGGTGATCCTTCTGCCTCAGCATCCTGAGTAGCTGGGACTACAGGCATGTGCCACCATGTCCGGCTCATTATTTTTATTATTTGCAGAGACAAGGTCTTACTATGTTGTCTAGGCTGGTCTTGAACCCCTAGGCTCAAGCAATCCACCCACCTCAACCTCCCAAATTGCTGGGATTACAGGCATGAGGCACCACGCCTGGCCCTGCAAAAGGGTTTTTGGATTGATTTTTGGAATGTGTGGTCTGGGAGAGGGATGCTAGCGGAGGCAGCCATCTCCACTTCCTTCCATCCATTTGTTACTCGGGACCAACACGCCATCTCTCCAAGCCCTCATGTCCTGGATCCCTGATACCCCATTCTCAACATTTTTTTCTCCACAAAACCTTTTCTCCCCTACACCTCCTTCACCCACTTTTCCAACATCCTAAAATTCTTCCTTAAACATCCCATCTCCACAACTCTCCTCCTCCGACACCCTGTTTAACATCCTCCCACTCATGCTTTTCTCTGACACCCCATTTCTTGAAAACGCTTTCTCCCAACACCAATCCCCTCCTAAACCCCACCACCTCCAACCCCACATGCCTCTAACATCCTTCATCTCTGACATCAATCCACCCTCACCTCTCTCCCACACCCACCTTCCTGGCAGCCTTCCTCTGCTCCCCACCTTCTCTGCTTCTCTTAGTCGCTAACCCCATCCTTCTAATATCTCTAACCCTCACACCCTCCCAGCATGACTCCTCAACACCATTTCCCTGACACCTGCCTATCTGGGTAAGCGCCACATTTCTCCCACGTGCCTTATCAATACCTTGTCTTCCCTTGTCCTCCCAGCCCCTCTTGCCATGTGCTTTCCATTCAGTACCCCTTCCTGTCAAAGGCAAACCCCAGCCCTGTACTCCAACCCCTGCCTCTTCAGCATGTCTTCTCCTCAGTACCCAAAATCAGGCCCTTCACCCTTGTGCTCCCCGCATGCATCCTTTCAGCATCTCCCTCTGGCACCCCAGCCCCCAACAGTTTCCTACCCCACGCCTCTCCTGCAGGTATGACCCGGACAGTGGGCATGACAGCGGCGCCGAGGATGCCACGGTGGAGGCGTCACCTCCCTTCGCCTTCCTAACCATTGGCATGGGCAAGATCCTGCTGGGGGCCGGGGCCAGTGCCAATGCAGGGCTGACGGGCAGGGATGGCCCAGCAGCCAGCTGCACAGTGCCCCTGCCGCCCCGCCTAGGCATCTGCCTGGACTACGAGCGGGGCCGGGTTTCCTTCCTGGATGCTGTGTCCTTCCGCGGGCTCTTGGAGTGCCCCCTGGACTGCTCAGGGCCTGTGTGCCCAGCCTTTTGCTTCATTGGAGGTGGCGCAGTACAGCTACAGGAGCCAGTTGGCACTAAGCCTGAGAGAAAAGTCACCATTGGGGGCTTTGCCAAGCTGGACTGACCCTCCAGGACCCCTTTTCCAGACCTGGGGTCCTCCTGGGCCCTGGCCCCCAAGCCTCCTGGCCACATCTCCCCCAAACTCTTCCTACCACGTGGTCCTGCCCCCTACCCCATGTCTGTGTCTCCCCAGGGCTTTCTCTTGGCCACAGGGCTCCCGTGCTCACCTCTCTGGATGCCCCCCATTCTTTCCATTGCCTGTTAGCCAGGCCCCAACCCCCACCAGGTCTCTGCTCCATGCTCTGCCTTTGGCATTTGACCCAAGTCATAGAGAGAGCCCCTGCTCCATCCCCATCCTGTTCCCCCAGGCTGACTGGGAGGGAGGGCACCTGGAGCACTGGGCACAATCCCAGCCCTGCCCTTTGCTAGGCCAGCTCCCTGTCCCATCAACGCTGAACTGCCTTGGGGCAGGCAGGCTTCTTGGCGGGACGGTGTCCAGGCACTCCCTGGTGAGGGAAAGGGGACCCTACCATCCTGCTTTACTTCCGTGGGTCCCCACACCTCCAGCCGCATGCCCCTTATGTCCCTCTTCTCCCTCTTGCATGCTTTACCTGTCCTGCACCCATGCCAATGTGCCACGTCTCCCTTGGGGACCCAGCTGAGGCTAGGTGTTCCCACTGGGTTGGGCCAGGCAAGGCCTCTGGTGCCCACTGCTGTCTCCCGGCGGTGGTGGGCACCACTTGGCCTGTGCCAAACAGCTGTTATTTTCATGGTTTATAAACAATAAACTGTGATGTCAGGCATACCTCTGCCTTCCGTGAGCGTGACCATTCCTCTTAGCTTCTATGCTGGGCGCGGCGGGCAGGAGGGCTCGGGTGCTGTTGTTCAGGGCAAGGGTGCCAGGTGGACCTGGCGCCCGAGGGAAGGCGGTCCCCAAGCCAGCTTCCCGCCACACGTGTGCCAGGCCCGGGTCGAGCCGGCTGAGACCACCAGGGGGCGCCGCTCCGGGCTGCTGGCGTCAGGCCCGGACCGCGGCGCCCACGCCCTGGGGGAATGTCGCTGGGGGGACCCCGGGCACCGTGCCTGGGCCCAAAGGGGTCAGGGACTCAGAACCACTTCCCCATTCCCGGGGTTCTGGGGAGCCCACCTCAGCAGCAGCGGGAGGGGGGCGGGGGTCGGGCCTGGCGCCAGCGCCCGGATCTGACCCAGCCCCTGCTTAACGCGGCCGTGTTGACTCTGCGGCTGTTATCGCTGCCCAAGGATTTGCTTCACACCCGGGCAGCTAAGAATAGAGTCGCCGAGGGGCACTGTGCCAGGGGGCGAGGAGGGTGCGGGCCACCGCCGGCGCGGGTGAAACCCAGGCGGAGCCCGGTCACGCTTGCCCTCCCGAGCCCGCTTCGGTTTCGTTTCCTCCTTCCCCCTTGACCGCCACGGATGGGAGAGCGGTGACTCCCGAGTTCTTCCACGGGCCACTCCTGTGCCCCAGTGTCACCTCTTCCTCACATCTGCTTCTCAACTGAGCCCCGCTTTCCTGGCCCTGCTTCCTCCGTCTCCTCCCAAGAGACCCCTTCCAGGCCCCCCACACACAGCTGACCCCTCCTGCCCGCGGGTTACAGACGAAAGATCAGAAGTTGGCCCAGCGGGAGGCCACGTTTTATTCAACCGCGTTCAGGTTCCCAGCCCCTTCTCCGGGCTTTCTGGGCCAGCCCTCCAGGGAGCCCCCACTGCACCACCCCCCAGGCCTACCCCCCAGGGGCAGGGACGGGCTTCCACCGGCTTTAATGGGTTATCGAACTCGGTTGGACCTCTTTGGGAGGCTGTGGACAGCCCAACTAAATTCCCAGCTCACCAGCCCAGAACAGAGGGGAGGGGCCCTGTCCCTACAGAACCTAAGGGGAGCGGACTGGCACTGGCTGGCCGCCCAGCAAACGCAGGCCGCATGCCCCTACAAGTTGGCAGAAGTGGCTGCCGCTGCCGGGTTTGTGTAAGAGATGCTGCTGCCGCCGTTGCCCGCAGTAACCTGGGTGGAGGGAAGAGACCTGGGATCAGGAGAAGAAGGTACCTCCTGGGGCTGGGGCTGCACCCCAGGTGGGGGTAAGAGGTCCAGGGCCTAGCCAGCCCTCAAAGGGTTAATTCAGGGAGAGCACCTGCAGGCCCCACCAGCAGCCAGGTGACTGTAAACAAGGCAGCTCCTCCTCCCTCCGCTCCCCTTCTCCCTCTCCCCGGCTCCAATCAGCCCCTTGGCCTCCGCTCCTGCCCCTCCATCCTTTACAACTGCAGCCCAAGGAGCCCGTGTGTTGGGGGGAAGGGTCTGTGTCTTTGCAAAACTAGGAGAGGAAGGAGGTCCCCAGGAGGAGGGAACCAGGGGCAAGAAAAAGAAACTCCTCTCTCCTCCCCCACCTGGAACAGCTTTCCAGCCCCGGTGGCTGCAGTAATTATTTACTAGTCCAGTAAAGAAAGACCTGGTGAGGAAAGAGGGAGGGGTCCTTACTTCCCCGAAGCTCCCAAGAACCCCACTGGTACCCAGACTCACTTGGCTGGTGACACTCCTTCCTGTATACTGGAGACTTCCCTGCCTCCGCACCCCCCCCCCACTCCCCAGCGTTTCTTAGTCTACTCTCCATTCTTAGGGGATGAATAGGTGCAGGGGTGTTCATTCCCGTGACTCTTGCAGGAAGGGTGACCCTGGGCACAATGCCCCACCCATTCTGCCTCTGGGCTTCCTAGCGAGCAGCGGTGCCAGCTCACCCAGAGCCAGCCAGCATGAATGCGGACAGGCAGTGCTCTGTGGAGAATTCTGGTAGTGAGTTCACTCCCTCTTGAAGGCCCCATTCTTCTGTGGTCTTTCCCCAGACCTGAACCCCAGGACTCCCCTCACCTCTACTCCCATCCTTGCTAGCCCCTCCATGGTTTACCTCATGCCGCCTCTCACCTCTCCTGGGCTCTTTGGGTTTTCTGAGTACCCCTTCAGAACACCTGCCCGGCCAAAGCCTCTGCCTCTCCTGACCTGTAAGGCCCCTTCTCACCTCTTCATAGGGGCTACGACCGGTACTGCCAGGGGGTGCATAGCGCCCATGGGTGTGGTAGGTGGGGTACTCGCTCATAGGGTGGTAGGCATCCCGGGTTGGAAAGATGTCCAGGTGCCCATAGTTCTTTCGGCAGCACTGACACACAGCCTGGGGAGACAGGAGGCTACAGTGGGCCTTGGGGTTCCTTCCATGGGGCGTGGGACTCTGGTCAGGGCCACAGACAGCACTTACCAGGGCGATGAAATAGATGATGGCCAGCGCGACCAGAACACAGACCAGCACCAGCAGGGCAATGCCCCAGCCTGGGACCCCAGACCCAGACTGGGAAGAGGAAGGAAACGGCACCTCACGTGCTAAAAGGAAAAGCAAGGGTTAGAGCAGTCTTCCAAGAAGGCAGCCCTCCTCCTGCTAGCACCAAGGGGACGAGCAGGAACCCAGACGCTTGAGGGAGACAGGCCGTGGCATGGCGCTGGGCTGCGGCTGGGGAAGCAGCCTCACCACTGACTCCTGAGATGTGCAGGTTATAGTTGGCCGCTTCCTTTTCATGCTGAGCAAACTGTGTCTTCACGTCCTGGGCGTTGGTGGCACCTTCTCGGAAAGCCAGAGTCGACTCTGCCACCACAGATCCTGGCCTGGTCACAGGGAAATGGTCAACTCAGCCTCGGGTCTCTGTCCACAGTCCCTCTCCACAGTCTTGATGACATCCACCTCCCACCACCACCACCCAGAGTCCACACTCAGAACTGTACCTGAACTTGATGCTAGAGAGACCCAGGAAATCCTCTTGTTTATAAATCTGCAAAAACTGGGGTAAGAAGGAAAGGACTCAGGCTTGACACAAAGGGCTTGGGCAGTTCCGAAGGCTGCTTTAGGGGAGCATGTGAAGGAGAGGCAGGTACCCACCAGTTCAGAAATGTTTCTCTGCAGCTCTTGGTAGTACTTGGTGCTGGGATTCTCCAGGGAAGAATTAAACTGGAGGTTCACAATGTGGAAAGACAGGAAGAAGAAGGATACCCTGATAGACATCTGGGAAGAAGTGTCTTGGCTTGAGGTGGGAGAAGGAGCTGTGCTGTGGCGAGTGTTCCTGGTAACGGTGCTAGGACCGTGGCTGGCAGGGGTGGGGGGCATAGCAGAGGGGTGGCTGGGAACTGAGGATGGGGGACTCTTGGTTCCTGGGGTTGTGGGAGCCTTGGCAGAGGTGCCATCATGTACCAGAGTGGAAGATGTGCTCCTGGTTGGGACCAAAGTGACATTGTGGACAGGAGTGGTGGTGGCCCCTGAGTCTGGTCTGGTGGCTGGGGTTGTGGTGACATTGTGGGCTGGCGTGGGAGTGACGCCAGAGCCTGGTCCGGTGTCCGCGGTAGTGGTGGCAGAGGCACCGTGGGCTGCCGTGGGGATGGTGCCTGAGTGGTGTATGTCATCTGCCCTCGTGGTGCTGCCGTGGGCTGGCGCGGGGGTGGTGGCGCCCGAGTGGCGTGCGTCGTCCGCGCCCGCGGTGCCCCCGTGGGCTGGCTTGTGGGTGGTGCCCGAGTTGGGTCCCGGGCTCTGGGTGGATGGTAGACTCTCAGATAAGCTATACTTTGTGCTGCTTTGGGCAGTTCCAGTCTCTGATTCCCTGCTTTGGTTGGAGCTTGTGTGGCCAGAATTTGTAATTGTGGGCTCAGAGTCTACAGCAGCTGTAAGAAGTCGAGGTCACAGGGTTGAGTTGAAGGACACATCAGAGCAAGGAGGAAATATAGCCTGTGGCAACTGGAGAAGCACTCCTAGGAGAACTGAGGAGTGGGCAGCACCAGGCCACCCCTGGCTGACCCTCCTCCTCCCCTTGGCAGCCGCCCTCCATCTGCCGCCACCTCTCCTCCTGGCCTGTCCATTTCTCCACCCGAAGACTTACCTCTCCTGACTCCTTTCCCCTCTAGGCTTCTCTTCAGGACACTCGTCTTCCCCTGGCACCCACTCTCCTGGGGGGCCACCTCTTCTCAGCCTGTCTTTAGCCTCTCTCCTTCCCAATCTGGCACAAACGGGCCGTTCCTGCCTGCAACTTCTGCCTTTCATGGTGCCATCTGCCAGGAAGCAGAACCCATGGAAAGGCCAGGGGGACCACAAAAGCAGGGCAGCCCACCCCCCACCTTGCGCCCCTCACCTGAAAGCACGAGGCGTAGCAGCAGCAGGAAGAAGGGGGACTGGATGCCTGGTGTCATGGTGGTGGCGAACTGGGTGGGCAGGGGGGCAGGACAGACTCGGGCAAGTGCTGCGTGTGAGGTGGAGCGGGCACAGGCGCCTACTGCTTTATACCGGTCCCCCCCCTGCCCGCCCTAGGCACAGCCGGAGCAGGTGACAGGTGACAAAACCCCGCCCCTCCCCCCTTCCCTACCTACTACCTCTTCCTCCTCCTCCTCCCCAACCATTCCTGGGTAGGGTACGGCGGCCTCTAATCACTCAACCCTCTGACAACCTGTTTGTTCTCCAACTGGCCTCCCCCTTCCACCAACCGCTCCCTGGCTCCAGGAGATGGGAGGGGGGCCGTCTGGGACCTGGGCCTCCCATCCCCACCCCCACCCCGCTCTAGTTTTAGCCCTAAGGCAACAGCTAAGGTGAGAAAAGGGAACAGACAAAGCTGCTAGGTCTAGGTCCCGGACAGCAAGGCCAGGAAGCCCACCCCTGGGCCCCCACTCCACTCCACCACCCTCCTGCGTCCACTGAAGCCCCACTCTGCGGGGCTGAGAAGAATAAGGCTTGATAATGAGTGGACTAGGTGCGAGTTTGGGACTCCCTCCCCCCCACTTCCCGGAATAGCCCCACCCTTCTAACCGCTCCCTGTCGCGTTCCACACGCAGGTCTACCCTGAAACGCCAATCCCCGCCCCGGCCGGACTTTCCAGTAACCTGGGTTCTTTCCTTGGCCCGAAAGGGAATGGGGAAGAAATTTCCACTAAAAGGAAATCTGGGCTCCAGTGAACCCTGGGGTCCTTCCGTCCCACCCCGCCACTGCTGGCAGGAGCTCCTGCCCTCTAGCGGTCACCGGGCGTCTTGCGGCGCCGACCCGTGCGGGCAGAAGGGCTGCTCCGACCCGTGGGGAGGGGGTTGGGCCGCGCTGCCTGAGTCGCGACTCAGAGAAAGTCTGGAGAGACTAGCCCGGGAGAAAAGGGTCAGTGCCTCGCACAGAGAGGGAGGAACGCACAGTGTGACGGAGAGCCGTGAGCTTTAGGAGGGCCACTCCTGGCCGCGCGGGGTAGTGTCCGGATGAAATAGTGCTAAGTGGTGGGGTCCTGAGGTATGTGGGAGGGGCACGGAAGTGTGTGGGAAAGGGCACTGGAAGTGGGAGGGTGAACGGGACACATTATGATTGGGCATGTATCTAAGAGGCAGAGTGGGTGGGGCGACAGAATGGAACTTGGGGGCACAGAACTATCCTCTGGGGAACAGAGTGGTATTTGGGGCAGGTTGGCACGTGGTGGTGGAGGAACAAAACCGTATGTCGCGGTGCGTCGTTGGAGAGAACCGAGAAGTATTTTGAACAGAAATATTGGCGGGCAGGGAGATATCTGGGGCCACAGCGGCACGTGGAACTTAGGTCCGGCAGCCCCGGGCTGCGGCCTAGGACGAAGCAAGTAACGACTGCGTTCCGAAAACCATTCTTAGCCCCAAGGAATACGGATTGGAAAAGTGGGACTTCAAAAACATTTCGGCGCGGTGCGGGATTGGCGAGAAGCCCGGTGGGGAGGCGACG